TTAGAGGTAGCATTGCTCTCTGCCTCACCTACCTCACAGGGTGTCTGTTGTGAGGAGGGAAAGGGAAAGGAGTTTGTAAGCTGCCCTGGGACTCCTTTGGGTAGTGAAGGGCAGGGTATAAATCCAATCTCCTCCTCCTCCTCCTCCTCCTCCTCCTCTGTGGAGCAGCCCTGGGCTTCCTAGCCTCAGCCTCCTTGCCTGTGCTTCCCTGCAGGCATCGGCGGCCCTGAGTTCTGAAGAGTTGGTTCGAAGGAACAAAGTGCTGGCCCGAGCTGCCCTCTCCGGACGCAGCTTCTCATCCCCACACGGCGAACTGGATGCCCATCGACTGCGCCGGGCCCTGGAGAAGGTCTCCCAGAAACGGAACCGGTCCCTGGAAGGGAAACTAGATGAAATTGGGCCTGAACTGCAGAAGATGCGAAAGAGCATTGCTGATTCCAGTGAGTGATGGAGGAAGTGGAATGTTGGGGGGTACAGAAGAACATCAGAAGAGCCCTGCTGGATCAGACCAGTGGCCCATCCAGTCCGGCATCCTGTCTCACACAGGGGCCAGCCAGTTCCTCTGGAGGGCCAACAACAGGGCACAGAGGCCGAGGCATTCCCCTGATGTTGTCTCCTGGCTCTGGGATTCAGAGGATTAGTGCCTCTGAATGTGGAGGTTCCCCTCAGTCACCATGGCTAGTAGTCATCGACAGTGTTCCCTCTAAACTGAGTTAGTGTGAGCTAGCTCACAGTTTTTTAGCCTCTGGTTCACACATTTTTGTCTTAGCTCAGGAAGGAGGGCTCCAGAACAGACTGATTTATGCAGTAGCCAAATCGCTCACCCACAACTTTAATGCCAGTTGCTCACAAAGTAGAATTTCTGCTCACAAGACACCACAGCTTAGAGGGAACACTGGTCATCGATAGACTTATGCTCCATAAATTTATCTAATCTCCTTTTAATGCCGTTTATTCCTGTGGCCATCATTACATCTTCTGGCAGCGAATTCCACACTTTAATCGTAAGAACATAAGAGACGCCAATGTTGGATCAGGCCAAAGGCTCATCCAGTCCAACACTTTGTCACACAGTGGCCAAAAATCACTCTCTATGTAATCACTCTCTATGTAAAGTAGTATATCCTTTTGTCCATCTAGAACCTACTGCCCGTCAGCTTCATTGGATGCCCTTGAGTTCTGGTATCTGGGAGAGGGATAAAGATGTCTCTTTGTCAACACTTTCCACTCCATCCATAATTTTATGGACCTCTATCATGTTCTTCACAAGACTGATGGATCTCCAATCTGTATGGCTAAATGTGGTGCCTTCCATGGAGATAAATCAAGACGGGTAGCCGTGTGAGTCTGTCTGTAGTGGTAGAAAAGGGCAAGAATCCAGGAGCACCTTAAAGACTAACAAAATTTGTGGCAGGGGAGGAGCTTTTGTGAGTCACGGCTCACCTCTTCAGATAGCTTTTATTCTCAGCCCCTTTGGTATAATATTAATCCTTCTGCATTTGGTGAGAAAGGTGATGACTGTTTGTTCCTGTGCAAGTTTCTTCACAAGGCTGATGGGTTTCCATTCTGTACGGCTAAATGTGGTGACTTCCATAGAGATAGATCAAGATGGGTAGCCGTGTGAGTCTGTCTGTAGCAGTAGAAAAGAGCAAGAGTCCAGGAGCACCTTAAAGACTAACACAATTTGTGGCAGGGTAGGAGCTTTTATATATATATATGTGTGTGTGTGTGTGTGTGTGTGTGTGTGTGTGTGTGTGAGAGAGAGAGAGAGAGAGAGAGAGAGAGAGAGAGAGAGAGAAGTTTTTAAATACTGGTTTCCATGGATGGTCCAACCCCAAGCTTAGTGATCAGCTCCGCTTTATTAGTGATTCAGCAGATACAAGGCAAAACTCCAGGGCGACAGCCCTGTTTAGATAGCATGCAAACAACACAGCCAACCACACCCCACTCCCAACGATAGGCTATTTACATAACATTAATTCCTTATTGGTCACCTCCAGAGTCCTGGTGGGCTATTGTTCTAGAGCTCCAAGCTCTGCCGGTCTCTGGTAGGCAGTCCTAGGATGTTCCAGCCCCGATACATAACAGAAGGGAAGTGACGAGAAGGAAGGAACCCCTGAGAGTAGCATTCTGGGTAACAAAGGGACAGCAGCAGGAGTAGACAAAGGAAAGGTCCATGTCTACCCCGGTACTAACTCTCTGCCGCCCTCCCCAAGACACCACAAGTCTGTGCTAGCCCTAAGCGACAATGACAGTCCACTCCTTCCAGCACCTTCAGCATGCAAAGCATGTGCTCTCCCATGGGAGGCATGGCCCCTCCAATGTCTTTACAATGTTCTCTGGTCTTCTCCCCACCTCCCTGTGCCTTACTGTCTCCTAGGTAACTTATTGTCCCCGGCCCACCTAGACTGGGACACTCTATTGGAGCCTCCATACTTTTTCAGCCCGTCGCTGGCAACCGAGCAAGGGGAGAGTGAAGGAAGCGCCTCCCCCTCCCTCCGGTGCCAGATTGTGATCCACGCGCTGAGCGCGGGGAAGCCGGTCTCGTGGGAACTGACCGCCAGCTTGGACTCCCTCCTCCTTTCCCGAGAGACCCAGGCCAAAGAGGAGCCACCCAGACAGCGCCAGCAAAGCAAAGCTTGGGACAAGCTGCTTCACCGCTTGACGGCCAGCTCCGTCATCCGGGATAATGAGAACGTCGCCCAGAGAGAAGCGGAGCTAGAAAATGGTGAGCCTGTCTATCACCTTGGGGGTCCGTGTGTGGCTCTGGTGGCTGGTTTCATGGGGTGGGGGGCAAAGTCAGGAAGAGCTGGAGGACCATACGTATCAGTTTGGTATAGTGGTTAAGAGCACGGACTGCGAGAACCGGGTTTGATTCCCCACTCCTCCACTTGCACCTGGCCGGTGTGACCTTGGGTCAGTCACAAGCTCTTTCAGAGCTGTTCTCTCAGGAGCAGTCCTCGAAAGGGCTCTCTCAGCCCCACCTGCCTCCCAGGCAATGTTCCCTTTAAGCTGTGGACTCTTGTGAGCAGAAATTCTACTCTGTGAGCTGCCGGCATTAAAGTTGTGAGCGAGTGATTTGGCCACTGCACAGGGGTCATTTGGGGGGGGGACGCGGGGGGACGCCATCCCCCCGGGTGAGGTGCGGGAGGGCAGGGCCTGGAGCTCCCTGCTGGTGCCCGCTGGAGGTCGCCGCCGGCTGTGGGGAGGACACACTTCCGGTGATGTCAGGGGGTGTGGCATATGCTAATGAGTTATGCTAATGAGTCCCCCTAGCTCTTTTTCTACGAAATGACCCCTGCCACTGCATATATTAGTTTGCTCTGGAGCCATCCTTCCTGAGCTAAGACAAAAATGAGTGAGCTGGAGGCTAAAAAACTGTGAGCTGGCTCACACTAACTCAGCTTAGAGGGAACACTGCTCCCAGGGTGTCTGTCGTGGGGAGGGGAAGGGAAAGGAGTTTGTAAGCCACTTTGAGACTCCTTCGGGTAGTGAAGGGCGGGGTATAAATCCAATCTCCTGCTCCT